CACCTCTTTACCACGCGTCTGAGGAACGAGTTTATCGGCGATTGTTGAGGGTGCGATGGGGTTGATCTTATGGTTTTATGGCGTTAGGCCGGTGGCCCCGGGACTCTCGGAGCTGAGAAGAGCCGGAGAGCTCGCCTTGGCGTTGGTGGAATGCGGGACGGGCAAATCGCGGTCGGCCCGCTTGCGCCTCGTTCCCATGCATTCCTTACTCCCCCCCTCGCTCCTCCGCGCTCTCTCGTCCTGGGGCCCCCTCTCTCTTTCTTCTGCCCTCTCCTGATTTGTCTCTCTTATTCTCTCTCTCTTTCGCGCGTTCTCTCACACTGACACGCTACACTCGTTCCACACCTCCGCGCGCTCCTCGACGCTTCATCCGTCTCGTTCGTATCTCTTTCTCTATCTTTCTCACTTTAGCAAGCATGTATACACACATACACCTCATTCTCCTCCTTTATCTCTCCCTCTCTATCCTTCCTTTTTCATCTCTTTTCAAATTCCTCTCTATGTCTCCCGCGCGAATTCGCGGCTCTTTTCCTTCCGTCTCGAATTCCCCATCTCGCTCGTTTACATACATACGATTTCCTTTCTCTGTTTCTCGCGTCCGAACATCCTTGCACCGTCCCCTCTCGTCCTGTTCCTCGACTTCCTCCTGCTTCTCATCGAACACACTCCCAGCGTCGCGGCGAGGAAAGCCTCGTCATGGCATCTTAACCGATCGACTCGTTGCCCGACGGGCAACATTGTTGCGAATCAGGTCGAAGAAATAAATATTGAGATGGAGCAATATCGAGACGCGTTATGCGATCTCAGACGCGTTTTATTCCACTTTTATTTCCTCCTTTGATAATCAAATTGTCACTCTCTCCGTTTTCATAGTTTTTGTAGATATCATGTAACTCGAAGCTACGCACTTTCAAATTTTTCACCCTGATGAGACGACACAACGCTTTCTATCAATCAATCGGCAAAGTTTCGCGCGATATCAGACGTCCTGCAGGAGCGTGTTGCCACGTAAGGACAACCGCGGCTTTACGGAATGCAACATGGCGTCCGACGAAGCTGCAGCGATGTTGCTTCCCGGCGCGGATGGTCTATTAAGCGATACCGTCCAACTCGATTTCCAACTGATTATTCGATCGTCGACATTAACGTATTATATGGAGATTCTCTCGCGTAACATTTCGCTTTTCACCGCGTTTCTCCACGTTTCTCTCTCTCTCTCTCTCTCTCTCTCGCCACAGAGGACCACCTAAATCGCTCGGTCGTCTTAAATATGCGTAGGTAACGGTACGAGAACGTGGCACGTGTCCGAAACTCACACGCGCGTGAGTTTTTTCGCGTCCGAGCGACCGGTCCGGGCGGCTCTCTTTTTTTCTACTAGATGAAATCCACGGTTTTCGACACGAGACGGCTCGACGCCGTATGTTCCGAATATCACGATTATCGCTCACATTTCAATCAATCGTACGCCTGAATAGAACACCGAGTTGCACGAATAAACGCACTCCTCGAATCTATGGGGGGTCTTCGGATTTTTATCTTGGCGGCGATCTTCAACCGGAGCCTCAATTAAGACAACCATGCGAACGCGGGTTTCACTAGAAAAATTCCTGCCAGAAAACTCGCCGTGTTGACTCGCGAATACTTTCTCCCGGATCCTGAGCGAACTCCTCCGCTCCCTACGAGAGAGCTCTCCCTGCTCGTTCCTTCTCTACACGAAAGAACGTTCGATGCCTCGCTAATAGGCAGATTAGCCACGCATCGAACGTTACGATTAGGGAAAGGTCGGCGTTAATTAATTAACGCGTGTCTTGTCGTGGCGAGTATGAAATAATGAGGCTTATCGCGCGGACGGCTTAACGAGAGCTTTATCTCGAGAGGCGCAAAGAGAGAAATAAATGTAACAATCTCGTAACGAGACCTTTTTTTTTCTCCCCTCCTTTTCACTTATTTTTTATTTTTCAAAAACGTGTTTGCTCATCTCGAGGAACTACGGGAATGACATCTACGGCCTCTCACGGAGTGCTATTGACCTTGGCATATAGAAGAAACCTCTTCGACGTGGAGATAACTTTAAGAACACGCCACCTGACAGCCTTTTTTACCGTCAAGTCTTCAACGCGTGTTCGCAAATTAATGGTCGCTAGTGAATTCCTTACGTCTCTATTTTTATCCGCTTCTCTCTCGGCGCTTCTATCCGAATTCACACACAGCTGCGGGAGAAAGGTTGAGCGACCACATCGCGCGAATCCCGTTCCCAAAACAATTGGCCGTCGCGCCCTAGCCGTCTGGCAGACCGGGGTCCTGACCGTGGAAAGTAGAAAGAACCACCGGCGAGGGCCCCCGCGATGGTAGTGGGGTACCCGGGAGGGAGCAGCAAAGAGAAGGGACAATACATACGATAGGAGGAGGAGAAGGGCGGGTACGATCGTTCTCGGAACTCGGGTGACCTCCCCCGGTGCAACCGGCGAACAGCCGACGGGTTAACTGTACAACCACTTATGTACCACGACGCCGTAGGAATGCGGCGACGATGATGCCGTCGTCGTCGTTCCATGAAATAACGCACCGCATACCGCGGCATGGCATACCTCCTCTCACAGGAGGAACACCGCGCGCGCGGATGATCCATGCGCGAGAGTGCGTCATTCATTCACCTGTGCCGCCGCCGTTCATCGTGCCGCTGATCTATTGTTCCCCGTAAATCCCGACCGATCGGAAGAGAGCCGGAGCTTTTTCGTTCCCGCGTGCTTCGCCATTTTTGCGGCCCGTATTGATTTTTCGCGACGCCTAACGGCCGCATTTTTGCACACACTCGTGTTCTCCCCCTCTTTCTCGAGAAAGAGCAGACGTCTCGCTCTTTCGTTGCACGCTCTCACAATTGGAGACAAACATTCCTTGAGAGACGCACAGAAACGTATTGAAACATCGCGAAAACTCAGAATGTATTTCTTTCGGGATGTTAATTATATTATGTTATCGAAGCAATTTTGTTCGTGGAATTGCCACAACTGGCATTCGTCGACTTATCGATTTGAGAAATAGATTTATCCGTCAGCACGAAGAAGAGAGAGGTGCGCTGGTAACACGCTATTCGTCAGCCGCCGTGAAGCGTGATTACTAACGGCGACGAGCACCCGAACGGCTTATTCGCCGCAACGTTCGCCTCGTAAAGTCCAGTGTTCATGAATACCGAATTACGGGAGCTAGATCGCGGAAGATCTTCGTTACCGCGTTCCACGTACCAGAACCGAAGGGTTTTTCTACGTTTCAGTTGGTTCGCGCGCACGGTCCGGTCATTCATTCGAATAGTTGCTCTCCTCTATGAAGCCCGCGGTACCGTTTTCTCGCTTCTTACGGGCCTCAGAATTGGATCATCTCTCTCGCGGTAACCGAACGAGTCTCTCGACCGTCTTTGATTCAGCAACTGGCCATAGAGTTCTTACGAGCTCTCTCTCCCTCGGTCTAGTTTCACGGGAACATTATTACGACGATCCTAAGAATCCCATTGGAGTTCCATCGAGAGAAACTAATGGTATTGCGGGAAAACCGAATGATTATTAACTGAATTCTTGATTAATACGTTATCTCGGCTTCGCTAGAAAATCGTGATCATTTTAGAAATGACGAGACACATTTCTCATCTCGCGAATCCTCAAGCTAGGCTATTCGACTCTCGCTCGAGGTAGTGAATGGAAAGGTGATTCGTCGCGGGATTGGCAGACGGTCGAGAACGACTGATACTTCCAAAGTCGGGGAGAATCGTCGCAGATATCGTGCGATATCGTGTGTCAGCGAGTGTTAGATTATGTACGCGATCCTGTCGTTCATTCACCTGTTACGTCTCTTTTCCTTCCTCGTACCTTCTCACTGCCTGCCTATTTGCCTATCTACTTGCCTACCTAACCTACCTGCCTGCCTTTCTCCTTCATTCTTCGACGTGATTCTACCATGCTATTACTTGGACCATAGATCACGCTCGGCGGTCCGCGAGGTCGCGGAAAAGAAAGACGAACGGAGGTCGAGGAAAGAGGTCTCGCTTAGAACTTATAACGAAGCCGCATTATACCCCTTCTGTCGCGTCGCTAATCCGCCGCGTGATTACTTTTTTCCTTTTTCCCCGCGACAGAATAGCCCCGACGCATTGTTCCTCGTGTAATCAACAATTTTTCCCAAGTTCTAATTGCTTTAATAATATATCTTGCGTATACCTCCAGTTTAATCGATCATTATCAATAACATATGAATACATTCAACACTGTGTCTTTGAAGAACCGAAACGCGATATCGCAGTAATTAATTAACGTTATTATGACACATCATTCATTTACGGGCGTTCCGCCGATAGTTTGATGTCGGGGCAGATCCGCATAACTGGAAGCGAAACTCGAGGCTTTGTCGTTCATTGACATCTTATTTATGAGCGGCGATCCTGGTCGAGTAAGCTTAGCCGTTCTCCGGTAGGCATGAAAGACCGAGACACACGGCTATCTAGGAAGCCTCGCGGCTCTTCGAGCACGCTCCGCTCGCGGAGATGGAAAAATCTGGAGAATGTCGAAGCCGTCGACCAGTTTCAAGAACTCACCACTTGGCGAGCGTGTACGTGCGCGCAAGTTGATTCTCGCGCGGAGCCACCTTGTCTCCTTTGGTTTTGTTCTTATCGTGCGATCGCGCTAAGCGTCCCTCCCCACTCTCTCTCTCTCTCTCTCTTTCTCCCGTCCGCTATTTTTGCATACCGCCTGCACTCCGCCGGTGCGCTTCCACCTTGCGAGCGGACGCACCGGTCGCAACATCTAGTGGCTCCGCCACAGTTGGCATGAAAATGTCACAAATGGTCGCGTTAATATCGCGAAAAAGTCATTTTGTTAGGAGCCCGTGTGCCTACTTTCGTCAGTTATATATGAAAGCGATTGTTTGTCGACATTAATATCGCTATAATAATTAATATTTTTATTCAATGAATCACAGACTAAAAGGAGGGACATTCGACAAACTTGTTACAGGAATCTCGCGATCGGTATCGGGATACAAAATTTCCCGGAAGGGTTGGCAGTGGCGCTGCCTCTTCAAGCCGCCGGAATTAGTACGTTGAAAAGTTTTTGGTACGGTCAACTCTCGGGGATGGTGGAACCTATCGCCGGTGTCCTTGGCGCAGTCGGAGTGACGCTCGCCGCACCTGCGTTACCTTACGCACTTGCTTTCGCGGCCGGCGCAATGATCTACGTCGTGATCGACGACATCGTCCCGGAAGCGCATCAAAGGTATGTACCGTAATCACTCGTCCGGGAAAACTTGAAAGCGACTCCTATTTGCACTTTTTATAATGCTCAAAATTACGGCTGCGCGTCGCTAACGGTCGCTCAACTCAAGAATCTCTTTCGAGGATGTAAAAGCGCGACAATCTCGTTCAGTCAGCTCCGGAGTCGTCCCTCTGCAACAATATCGCCTCCTTCCCGCGGAATGGAATAAACGTCATCTTGAAAATATGCACGATTTATTCGGGTACAATAAATGCTGCGAGTGAGACGCGAAAGAGAGTTAAATCTCGAAAAAGGAGTCTTATAATTACACAGCGTGCTCTCGGAAAACACGCGCGTCTTATTGAAAAAGCGTGGAAGGTGGCGTTGAATGCAGAAGGGTGAAGCCGGTTCGCGCAAAGGGACTCAACTCGTTCCCTTAACTGGTTCCGGCTTCTCGTCCTTTCTTCTCTCCCTCCTCGCTCTTCGTCTCTACTATCTCTTTCGCTCCTTCTTCTCTTCTTTTAACCATCGTCCATACCGGAGGCACCGGTGCACTTGCACCCGTTTCCGTCTCACGTTTCACCCTCGGCCCATTCAAGACGAATTAGAGCCTGGGCCTGAGCTCGGAGTCAGAAGGGCGGAAGACGCTTTTCCCACCGACACAATGGCTCTTTATTTCGGGATTTATTCCCGTCGCCGGCCGATCGATCTTTCGGCTACGCGCGAGGATCCTATCGTTCGGTAACTCGAGCATTGTCGCGCGCGGATTAAGAAGAAAATCTCAGTTCATTTCGATATTATCGGTGGCACATTCCTTTCATCGATGGGTTTGTCGAAATCTTTCGACCGCGCATAAATATGCAAGGGAAAAAATTGGTGTCGTATGAATTTCTACTCGCTATGTATACACACTACACTCATAAACACACTCGAAAGCACACGTATCTACCGCGTATTCGAGAGCGATTACGGTACAATGGCGCGTGACGGCAGTGCCGTAGTTAGCCGGCGAAACGGACGTGGCGAATTTCTTTCCCAGGCCCGCTCGCTCGGCGGCCTAGCTGAAGAAGGCGCATTGTCATTATAATTGGCTCCTTTTGTATTTCGCGTGCGATCTAACCGTCCGTACACGCTCTCTCTCGCTCCCTCGGGAACCGGCCGGAAAACGCGCGTCTCTCCTTCTTCGTGGAAACCGCCGAGACGGATCGCCGTTTTCGAACTTATCGTACGGCAAATAGGCGGCCGAGAAGAGGAGCGCATTCGTTTCTTCGGGAATAAGAACCCTATGCGCAAACATGCACGTGTGTATTAATAGCGGGCTCCTTGGCCCTAAGTGCCGTAAGTACCCAACTCACAGATTGTACTGTTTGAGTAGTCGTATTTGCCAAACCCACATTTTCCTCGTTTAAGTGAGATATGAGAAATTGTGGGTTGGACCAACGTTACTCGCTGATCATTTCGACAGGTAATTTCAAGTAAAATAAATTTCGTAAGAATTTCCCTCTCACCGGACCGATTAGCAGCCTAAAGCGCAGGATCGGTCCTCTGCTCGGCGAGAAGAAACGCGGGAAAAACGATCTTTTCCGATAACACGCGGCGTTTTGCGATGAGATACGATAATGGCCAATAAAAATACAAATTTTCTGAGGCATACCGAAAGGAGGTATTTACCGCGCGGATATGATTGATGTGGTAGAACGCCCACCGAAATACAACGGCGCGTTTCGCCGGCCGTTTTAAAATTGATGGCCGTGTATAATTTACGAAATCAACAAGCCGTGACGTGCAATACCGGGTATATACGCGTGTAGCGCGAGTGTGTGCTTTGTATGTGCTTAATCCCTACTTACGCCGCGAAAACCCTTTTATTTCTCGCCATCCTGGGGCTCTCTTTCTCCCAGGTCGTTGCCACGGGGCCGACGCCTCCTTTTTAATTCCCCGTCCTTTGATTTTCACGTTCGATCCGTTGCGCTAATTAAAATTCTCCGCTCCTTGCCGTCCGACCGAGATTGCGCACAAGTTCGAAGAAAGTTTGGAAAGACCGCTCGCAAATAGAGAGTTACTTGACTTTTTTCGCGCCTGAATACTTAATGCGAGCGTCTCGCTTACAACTTTCTGTTTACAGCGGAAACGGCAAACTCGCCAGCTGGGCCGCCGTCGTCGGTTTCCTGGTGATGATGTCCTTAGACGTTGGCCTAGGTTAAGGATATGTCGACATATTCGCGTCCTTGCAGAGGCGCCTCGAAATCACGCGGCAAAAATCAGGAAACTCCTCGACTCGCGTGATATTCGTCGAATAATAGTAATAATTAATAGTTCTTTTTAATCGCCTTACGCAAATGCGCGTCCTCGAAGATTCGGGACCTCGAGCGAAAGGGACGATCGCGTACGAGATATATTTCCGTGATTCCTGGTATTCATCGAAACGCACGACTGTGATGAAGGAAATTGCTGCAATGTTGTCGAACGCGTTCGACACCTTTCACGCGGCTCGTTCGCGCGATAAAATGTTTTGGGATTGAAACCGGTATAATTTCCGCGAAAGAATCACGCTCTCTTCGGACCGTCGAAAACCTGATTTTACCATAAATATCGTTGCTAAATACCGGTTTCGATCTCTGTGAAATGTCGGTATGATGAAGGAGACGATATCGATTTAATCGTCTACAAATCGATTGACGCGAAAGTAAATCGCGTCACACCGCTCAAAGTACAACGCATCCTAAACCGTCGGGTAGGTGTAGCTTCAACGAACCTATAGAACGCATATTTCACTTTGAGAAAAGTCTTCCTCCGAGTATCTAGTCCGCGTTGGTGCGATTCCAGAATCGAACACTTTTTCAAGATCGAACATTTAGATCGATGTTTTTCAGGATTCACTGAAAAACGCAGGATCGATGCAATCGTGAAAGCCCAACCTATTGTAAAGCAACCGTTAAAGAATGCGCAGCGTCGAGAGAGTCGTCGGAAAGAGAAAAATGACACGTATCGGCGTGCTGAATCTTATCGTTTTCCAATTGTTGTTATCCCTCGGAACGTTATGTACTTGAAAATCTGCCGGAACCTCTCGGCCGTTCCCACGAAGGACCACCGCGGCTGCTAATGTTATTCGTTGCATTAATTATCCCCCGACATTATTACGTCCCGCGCGTGTACCGTTAGTATCCTCGAGATTTTAATCACGGCTTAATCGTCGAATTAGTTCGAATCGTTCGTACGTACGATTCGCGGTAATTCACCGCTAGAATTCCATCTTAATGAGAGAGGACGCGCCGCATTATGCAAATTCGCGTTTGCGCCTTTCTGGAACACGAAACTCTCTTTCTCGCTCTTGAGACGAATATTTCGTAACTCGTGAGCGGTTTTCTCGTGCGTGCGACACACGCAATCGTTCGTTCATGCCTCGCGGGTAAACCTATACGCGTATTTATTGCGTTACAATGTGTCCTTTCTAATCACTTTGCCGCGCAACGGTGCAATTTCGTTCTTACGATGACGTGACGTTTATCTCGTAACGAAGTTGCCGCTGTCGGCGCGAAAATAGACCACAATCCGCGTTTGAGGCAGAAAAGGCGGAAGAAAAATTTCCCCGCTTTATACCCCGCGGCAAGATTTCGACGTAGTCTACCTTCCCTCTCTAAAAAAAACCGCGTGTTGACTGATATCTCCAAAAGTATAGAAATGTTGAAGCCTCTTCTCCACGGTGGTGATTGGACCGTCTCAAAATCGTCTCGATGCAATTGTTTATCTTGACTCGCGGTTCTTTTCTCGTCAACAAATTTCAGCTTGGTGCTTATCATTAACTGAGATTTTTCTCCGTATAATAACGATTAGCTAAATAGAGCATGAGCGTCTGTGTTGTTCTGTTGAAAGAGACTTTGAACGTACAGATTACGCGTCTGTAGAAAAATTCTGAAAGAAAACGATAAAACACTCGCGCCCCATAAAGCTTCATTATTGACACATTTCGCAACTGCTAGCGTGGAATGTCCTGTTTCACCGATCCATAACGAAGCCAGATAAAAAACGTCGCCTCAGTGTCGCAGGACACGAGCGATCGATACGATTCGAAAGTAGGAGAACCGCGTCGGATTCGTCATTTTACCTTCATACCGACACAATCGTTTCTCTCATGTTTCTCTCTCTGTGTGCGTGTGCGTGTGTGTGTTCTTTACACACACACACACACTAAGATTCTTTATACATATAATATTCATTCGACGCGAACGTAATATTCTGTTTTCATTATTAAGCGATTCTCCCTGGTCTCCCTCTCCCCCATCTCCACCAGTCGACGTCTTCTCGAGATCGATATTCCTCGATAGGCGTACTCGCGATAATTGAAAGATACAGATGAGCCATCGATATCGGATCCTCGACGCTGCCCTCACTTATGTAAGATATAGAGACTATATTTTGATACCGTCGATAGTATACTATATCAAGTATTAGCACACACACACACACACACACACACATACACACACACATATCATCACTCGCGTGTGTATACAATTGCATATTCCTCGTACTGATTTCGCGTTAAATGGGCTGTTTAATAGGCAGTCTGGTTTCACGGACGTCGAGAAGCGTCTCCGGCGTGACAATCCACCAAGTAGCGTTATCGCGACGATTCGATAAAAACTGCCGTTTCGAGCATTCACGGACACCATTAGGACTGAGATTGTCAATTCCGAATTGTCAATTGGACCTTTCTACCTGCGAGAATTTTTTTACCGCTTTTATCACGCGAACCTATCAATGGCAGATCTTCTCGACGATCTTTCGATCCGGACGATCGACACGATCGCTATTCGAAAAGTACGAAAAATCAGCGACGCTCGGTTTATATTAAACCTCCTGTGTATGAACGAGCATCGGCCGGTTGAAGCTTCGATGATAGAAGCGAAAGGTGTCGTCGAACGACTTCGGCGTGGCTTTGCACACGTCGACGCTCAGGTACACGACGCGCGTATGTGCGATGCTTTAGCGAAATATATACCTGTAAACTAATCACACAACTATATACGGATCGTGTGACTGTACCAGTATCATATCGTACCTTAAGGTAGTTGTTGTTAGCAAGATCGATTCGTAAGTAGTGCATTCATTTGTAATTGTTGAAAAATTGCAAAACGCCTCTTACCCGTCGTGTTATAAATTCGACACGATTGTTTATTCATTTGATTACTCGTTTACATAGGAAATTTACACCGAATGTGTAGTGTTTAGGCGTTTATTAGGATCTTCGAGTGTGGTGGATATGAAAGAAGCGCAGTGACTAATAATTTTATCGTTCCCAGATCGCTTTTTTCACAGCTATAATGAGAATTTTGCGTTCCGATTAAATTAGGTGCCTTCGTAACTTAATTAGCGTTACTCGTGTAATCATGATATGCATGATAAGCAGGCATGGGAGGGACTTACTTCTCTTCACTTATTTAGAAACATCTCACTTTTCCTTATTTTTAAGGAAAAAAATCATTTTCTATTCAATATGAACCCTTTTTCCTGACGGAAAATTGGATCGCAAGAAATAACGTTCAGTAAGTAGTTCGCTTCTTTGAAGATAAAACAAAATATTCAAAAAAAAATAGAACGTAACAATGATGACACAATAAAGTGAAAAACTGTGATTTTATTTTTAGCCTTTTTGAGATTTCTATAAAAAAATTATTTAGGAAAGTCTCACTTTTTACTCGTTTTTTTTTTTTTTTTTACTGACTTGCTATTTTCTTTCTTTTCCAAGAATGAAACTCACTTTTTTAACTACTTTTGACAGCTGAATCGCTCCCATGTCTGTATCAGTATTCGATGAATTTGTGGGCTATGTTAGCAACGACTGCTTCACTTTTCATTTATTGCAACGCAAAGATTCAGTCGGAAATGTCGTTCCGAAATCTTTACGCATTAAATGTCCTAGAAACGCCTCTTGTATTCATTCATCGCGAGTTTAATGTTGCGATGCAATGGTTTTTAAGATATACAATAAAAACAGTGCGTTAAAGTAACGTGTTTGCGACATCCTCTCGGATATCCCTTTTGTTTTTGTCCTTAAAGTTAGTTGACTAGTAAGTCAGTGTAATATATTGTATGTTATTGTACTATGTAAAAGAAAAATGTTTATCTGTACATAAGATACGATCCTTCGGTCTACGTAACGTCAATTTTTAATTAGTTGTCAAATCCACAATTTGCGGATACGATGAGAAACTACCGATTGCATCACAACAATACGAATGAGAAGGATTGTCGTGACATGAATGAGTCATTTGTTTTCGAAAGAATTGCACACCGAGCGGTTGTCTTCTTCTTTCTTTGTTATAAACGGTAAAGATATTGTTGAAAAGACAAATGTATCGTATGCGATAATCCTCTTCTCGTAGTTTCACATTCTTACGCGAACGCTATCGAATGTTCTCGTCTTTCCTGGGAGATGAAGATTTTCGACTAATACCATTTCAAAAATAAAGTGATTCGATCGTAATAGGTGGTATTACGCTAATTGTGAGAAGAAATAAGGAGCGCTTGTCGGCGGGAAGTTACAAAGATCTCTCTCCTCGACTCAGACACGGTGAAGTGACGGCGTGCAGTGTCGGCGGTGCATCCCTCGCTTCGCGTCTCACCGCAGTTGCATAACCCGAGGAGAACCGAGACATGAATGGAGCCGAGCGACAAGGACGGCTACACCGTCGGTTTCCCGATGCAACGAGTGCGAGTGTGTGCGCACGTTACAGTGGTATGGCGTACTGACCGAGAAGGATGCCGGGAGCAGTGGCGGATTTAGGAATAGATTCGGAGGTGTTTCCAGGGCGATCAAGATGCGAAAACTTCTCTCTTGACGGCACCATGCGCGGCTGTGAAAGAAGTCGTCGTGATACAGGTGGGTGAACGAATGAATTATCACTACTATCTCTTGGACAAACTGTTGCCTTATCGTTTGACGATGCGATTATTCTTTCGGGACAATAAAAATATATAGTACAAGAATGTATATGTATAGAGTCGCGAATAATAATAATGACGATGATAACATATCAGTGTAATGTATCGGCGAAAATAATAATCCTGTGACATGCAGCGACACTAACAATGTATACCATAGTCTCACACAAATTGAACTTTATTATTCACTTACTTGTTCTTCAGTTCGCCATGTGAAAAATGCATGACCTTTGAGCTCCGGTGAACGCTCAAAGGTTCGTTAGGGTCTATTCCTCTCGGCTGTTCTCCTTGTCGTACAAAGAAGTAAAGGAAACTACTACGAGGGGTGGCACGAATTAACGTGCCTAGAGCAGCGCGATGTGTGAATCCGCCACTGTGTAAGATCGGGAGAACAGAAATGACGACGCAGTGACCGGCAAAGTCTGGGGGGAGAGAGAGGAGGAGGCATTCCGGTGGAACGGCGGAGAAGCGGGCGCGCATCTGCCGCCGTGTTCGTTCGCTCGCTCGCGGAGAGAGAACCAACGGCCGGTTAGCAGAGGAAGGGGGACGAAAAGTCGTAGGAAGAACCAACGGAGAGATGCCAAAGTTTACTGCTTTCAGGGAAATCCATCTCGAAGGTGAACGACGAAATATACGTTCAAAATACACACGCGTTCGTCGTGTTCGAGTGAAAGCCATCGAAATTGTTGAGATAAGAAGCGAATATACCGCAAAGAGGCTACATTGTAGTCCAAAGTACCCTTTTAACATATCAAAATGAGCGTGAAAAAAGAAACCGATCGGGAGCAACGAGTATGATAGCGGTAGTTGAAAAACAACGAAGCGGAGGGAAAAAAGGAAGATGTGTCGGCGGTGCGATAATCGGTCTAGCTAGAGATGGTTACGTGGTCGGTGCGTCGACGATCCGCGCACGATCGGGGAAGAAACGCGGCGGGGACGGTCGGACGAAAGGAGGGTGGGAGAGGCAGTACGTCGCATAGGAAAGCCGGGACACCGCACCCGCCAGCAGTCTCACAATGCACTTTGCCCTGCGCGCCGATACGCGCACGTGCAACGCGATTCGATGACGAACCTCTTTCTCTCACATACTCTCTTTCTCTCCATCTTTCCTTCTCACCTATCCGTCGTGACAACGTTCGGTGACAGTAGTGTTGTTTATTGTTGTTCCTGTTGTTGCACTGTATGGTCGGTGCATAAGCGGCCGATTGATTTGCGTATTTTTGTTACAAATATACCTCCGGACTGTAGCGGCTCTCAATCTGTGGCGAACGTGACCATCTGATCGTCAATGTTCGCTCATGTGAATGTCGCGTTTTATCACCGACGAGAGCACAGACGGCACAGGAGAGAAAGCACGGATGATAAATTTTCTAATCCACCGAACGCGAGATTCCGCCGGAGGAGGAAATATTACCGAGCTAATTTCCAATTCGAGAGTTTCCAACGGTCCACTTCCTGTCGCGCCGAAATCCGTCGTTGTCTACGGATAGGCGGATGGTACGATTAGAAAATAACTAGCGAGATCGTGGTTCGCTGCGCGTCGATACGCAAGGGTGCGTCCTAAAACGAAACTCTACTTGTACGTGAGCATCCACCCTAGGACATTGTCCTTTCCCTTCTTTCGTTCGCCTCGTTCTACCTCGTCCGCAGAGTCTATAACGCAGACTGATTATTACGCAATTTGTCGCCACATTGTGCCTTCCCGTGACCTGTTTCGCGACGCTCCCTGTTCTTGTTACACAAAGACACGTGTGTATTTGTTTGCATCCTAAAAAGTGTGCCCCCCTCCCCCCCCTCTCACTCTGTGTGTGAGGGCGCGCTTCCATTCTTATAACGAGATAAACCTCAAATATATCTTGTATATAAATATAGTACACGAGAATAAAATGGAAATTTTGATTAGTTTTTTATCAATTATCTTTACTCTTAGAATAATTTGAGGAAGAAATTAGACGAAATTTCTCTCTCTCTCTCTCATTGTGTTTGCGTCGCAAGCTTCATTTTGCTCAGCAAGCTGGCGACAATTTTCCGATAGAACGATCAATGCGGGAAGAATCGCGAGATCACCTCCTGTACAGAAACGCGCAAGGATCAGCGGTAAAACGAATCCCGGCACAATTAAGAGCCTTCGAGAGCCGCGATTAACTTGTCGCCGTACGACCTTTTGACTCCGGTAACCGCCCCCACCATTCTCCCACGTGCCAACGAACTTCCGACAAAAAGTAATCGCCGACCTCCACAGCGAGTACCGGAAGTCGTAGGAAGCCACCAATTGTACGACAGTATCCTGCGACAAACCATTATCAATCTAGCGCGGCAGGAATAGGAAAAGCGACAGTTTTGCGAGTGTTCCTTCTTCTTTCTCAGGCTGCGCGATCCGGTGAGTACTTGTAACCAAACTGATGAGAATTATTCTTAGATGTTCTTTGAACTCATCTTGCGTCGCTCGACAATTTAAACACGATGACAAAAATTGGAAATTTTATTGTAGCCACATCGTTTGACTCTAAACGCGCTCTGTTACGGCGCTACAAATTGTTGGCTGTCAGAATATCGCGAGATCAATTATTCATGTCCGCCTTTGACGTCGCGCAAAAAATGCTTTTTATTGGCGAACGAGAAGAAATTATTATTTACCTGTCAACTAACAAAATTGTGGAATTTTTCGCGCAAACATCTCGGTTACCGGAAACTTACAGGCAGGAACCGCCGAGAAGGCCATTTTCGGGAAGAAATATCTCGCAGATAATCTCTATGGTGCGAGATATTCGTGCCGCTTACGTCGCGTATCGAGCGAGCGGAGTTGATTATCAGACCCGTTATTGTATCTGGCTTGTCACAGATTCCGTAGTATAGCCGAGCAAATGAGACTTGGGCGGCTCACCTACGACCGCATTCCTTTTTCGCTTCTATAAATACCTCGTTTGGTATCTTTTGCCAACGACATTATTGTATTTGTTGTATGGTACTGCTCAAAGGTTAAATCGCGAAATGGATCGGATGTATTTTGCCGACCGACAAAATCGTTGAAAGGATTAAGTAATTCCCGCGGAAAATCATTGAACAAGAGTGCGCGCGTCCTATAAATTAGCCTGTCGTGTAACGAAGTCGTCCCCTCGTTTCGCGTTGGTATTCGGTAGCACGCATACGCGCGCACACGCTTTATGCCGACGTGAAAGAGAGGGTGTGTGTGGGCTTATATATAGAAATAGCAGCAGCGGAACAGCACCGGAAGCGAAGGAGTTCCGCCCAAGGGTCACCGCACTTTGAAAAGCAGGATCCAAGACCGCGCGTGTACTTGGCAGAATTCTACGCGCGATTCCGAAAAGGGGCGAAATTTACGTGTGAGCATTTATCAACGTACGTAAAAACGGGGAAATGAAAGATATTGGAAAAAATGGTATTATCTTTCACGGGAAAGATCCCACGGTTTACAGAGCACGGCCAGCAGGCTTCGCTAACGGCCGCGCTTTTATTGCTACCGCATCCGAGCGGAAGTGCGCTCGTTCTTCTCGCGGGGAGGTAAGATGGATAGGTAGGCAAGAAGTTCTTCTCGTTAACGCGCGCGCGCAGGCGTTTCCTCGCGAAACGCGTGACTTTATGAATGAAACCACTACGCTCGCGTAGCGAGCGTGCGCGCGGGCACGCACAGTTTCTACGCGACGACGAAAGTAGTAGTACGTACGCGCGCGTTTACTCGTTCGTAGGAAGGAAGTCGCGGCGGCGCAAGTATTGCGGACAGTACTTGCGCGACAGGATGCCGCACATTCAAGGAAGTGGTCCGGGGTGCTTTTAATCGCGCGATACATCGTGCATTATTCATCGTTTAATTAGACACCTTCGAATTCCTCGCGATTCCTAATGAGCCCGGCGAGGTCAGTGGTGTGACGAGCGGCGAATTTCTTTTTTTATTATTTGGGGTAACTCGGTGAGAGAGAGAGCGGAAACGCCGAAATTAGTAACGAAATTTCAAGTGAGAATCAAATTTTCCCTGTTTTTTGCGTCCAGTTAAGTCATTGGAGTAACAGCCTCGATAATTAGGGGAGATATTTTCCGGGCAGCGACAGCCAAAGAGACAACTATTTTCGGACGCGACTTATTCATCGATGTGGCATTTCTGCTCCCAGCGCGACATTTCGCGTACGCCCGACCATTATTTTAAGACTCTGCCCCGATAGTCTTGAAAGCGCTTCCCGATCCGACCTGCGTTTATTATTCATCGCAAACCGCCCGGCGCATCGAAACGTCCGAAAACAGTGCCGTTCGGCGGCCTATCAAATTCTAGGCCGACGACTGGCGCGACTCTATTTCTAAATCTATTCTCTATTTCCACGCGACGCCGTCGCCGCGACGAGTTTATACGTCTGCGATATTTCGAGGAGACGGACCCGGCGCTCGGGATGCCATGTGATAAACCTCTTCGAAACACACAGCTCCAATTACAAAATATTTAACAGCGAACTGTGGTCGCGATAAAAAGGAGCTCTCTCTCTCTCTCTCTCCTGTAAGAAATGGCTACTCTGTAATAGTTCTCCCGGGGGGAGGAAGAAACGTATAAATTTGCATCGTACTGTCATTTTTCCTATTGCACATCCTGAATTTCCTCGCTACGACGCGATCCCATCGAGAAAGATTAAATTACTCGTTTGCGCTAATGCGCTTGATACCGTTTAATAGACTGTTATGAGAACCGTCGAGTACGGTAACAGAAATAATGCCAACATGAATTCCTCGAATCCCTTACAATCTTTCTGAATTCCTTTCTTTCGCAAACATCGGTCTTTCGAACGAGCAACTTGAGTAGCTATTGATCTGCTATGACCGCTTCTCGATGATTCGTTTCATGTAGTTGGTTAAATTTTAGCTGTATATACCAATACCACCTACACGTCTGTAAAGTTAGAAAACGATGACCTTACACTTGATATAAATTAATTACATCAAGGAATTCTTGTCATGTAGTTGTTCATCTAGAGCGCACTATTGATCGATATGAATCTCGCGTTATTTATTAGTTTCCGCGCTTGTCCCTCACTTTCTTGCAAAACATCAATTTACAATTCAACTGTGGATATATCTCCTTCAATATGCATTATTCTGCCAGGTCAGCCGACGATCGATACGGCGTTAACCCCCCGTCCGATATTAACCCTCATCTAGTTAGCTGATCATATTTCTATTAACCAGCGAAAGACACAATTTCAAGAAAAACGACCGCCTGAAAGTAAAAAAAAGTTCGATGAGACCAAAATAGCCGCGCGTACATCATAAACGCGCTAATAACTTTTATATAATATGTAAATTATGTTATGTACGTTTAAAAGACTCGACGGTAATTCGATACCGCGAGTAGAATTCGTTGTGAGCATTTCGGCCGATCGAGCAATTAACACTGCAAAAGCGGCGACGCTCTCTGCACATCCGTAAGACAGACATAATTGCGCGTTATTGCGCGCGTGTAAATACGCATTCGCCGGAGATGGCCTGGAATTACTCGTTGGCAGGTGAATTTTACCGCATTTCACAGCGTCGACGAGAGTAGCAGATGGAAAGAAAATGTCTCGATAATGCGTCGCGATCTCCAAGATCTGATTTGCACTTGGAAGCTGTTTCTTCCGATGCTGAATTTTTTACAGGACATTTTTCTGTAGGATCTCTCAAATTTTCAACACAGCCAGGCCAGCCAACTATATAAAACTCCTCCGAGGGAGAATCTGGAAAAATTACTATCGCTTCTTCCTTTCATCATATCTTCCATCTTCACGCTGCTATTTGCCTATCGTTTCCGCACATTAGACACGACAATGGCCACGCGCATTTTTGAAATCGCCTTTTTATAATTCATGAGCTCACCGTGGCTCGCTCGGACTGAAATCGCATTTCATTGACCCAGCGTTCCAGTTGTCTCGTGCAACGCGAACTTCTGAAAACAGTCGACCGATCCACCGTCTTTGGTCAGTTCGATGTAACGTACCACTTTTCAACGACAAAACGGTCGTTTCTCTTGACCGTTTTGGTCCGTTTTCATATTTTGAATCCGGAATTTTGCAATGATATCTCATGGCACTCATTTAAATGAAACCGACAACGCTAATCGCACGCTCAATGAGAGTCGAAAATGCATTCGCGTCAAAGTCCGCGTCATTTACTTTTATATTAATGTCGTAAAATAAATATTTTCTGTCAGCAATGCCGTCTCGTTCTTATGTTGCTCCGAGTGAAAGCCGTAATGAAACATCCAAATACTGCCAAGCATCGGAAATATAGTCGTTCGGAGGGACGCGTTACTTGGCAAAATCAGCATCTTTCGTTTGTGTATCTCTCGCAATCAATCATATTCGCACGACATTTCCTTAAAAATGCAAAGTATCGAATCGCTAGAAAGATTTTCACCGTTCGCATACGTCACGACATCTCTCAGCTCTGTGATTTCCGTGTTTTCCGACCTCGTGCGTACCCCTTCCGCGCACGTTTCGCAGCGATGTGTCGCGAAGGCAACCAGCGGGGAGAGGGGATACGAAAAGAGGGGGAGGGCAGAATGAGACGGAGTAAGAGCCGCCGAATGAGCGAGAGGGAGGGGAAGGATGGAACGTGCGAGTGAGAGAGAGGGGATTCGCGAGCGATCGGCTACTCCACTCAGTCCTCGTCCGTCTGCCAGCCGGTTATCTACGGTGGAAATGGTTGACAGCTCGCGCGCCTCTCGCGACGAAATCCCTCCTCTCTCTCTCTCGACGATGACATCGTCGTCGGTAAAAAAAATCGAACGAACCTAACCTGACACGTCGACTTCCGGATTCCGTGATAATTTAAATGTCCCGTTGTCGCGCGACCTTGCCGTCGTCTCTCAAAGTTCGCGTAGCGCGGGAGTTTGCGTCATCGTCACGGGTATCGTCGCGCTGTTCTCCGCTGTATCTTCATTTGGATTTCCCACGACGATCATCTCCGCGCTGATGGCGTGGATCTGGAGGAGGGAGAACAGGAAATCGTTCTGACGACAGCAGCTGTCACGCCACAAGTAAAGGTACGTGTTCAATATTTATTATAACGATCGGAAAAATATATATCTGCCGCGAGAAGCGTGTTATATACGCACGATTCGTTCGGACTACCCTTTCGGTTACGTCAATTCGCAAGAAATTAACGAATCGCCCGTGAACGAGATAGTGCGTCGTGTAACTTTTTCCTCTGTAAATTAAAGACGTTCCAAATTTTTTTCTTTTTTGCATAAAACGAAATTAAATTAAGGAGAATAGAGAAAACGTCCAAGTAAGTTTCCCGTCGAAGAAACTTGCGCGGATATGAATTATGACGCTGTTCACGCGCACTCGTTCTTACGTCAAGAGGTTTATATTTACGACTCGTTATCGGCGATTAAAATGCGCGGTTTTTATATCAGCAAGTTAGATTTTTATGCAAAAGCTTGCATAGGGGTCAAGAATTTCCCGTGTCTCATTTTACCTTATCTCACCGTGTCAAGCAAAGTTTCACGCTCATAAATCGTGCATCGCAAATAGGAATTATTAATAAACTTATATGTAAACGCGAGGGAAAGAAGAGAGGTTGGTGAGGCGAGTCATATTGAAAACTTGAAAAATGGAGTTATCGGCTAATGCGCTAATTATATTGCGTTACCGATTATCAACATGGTAGCTAGTTAGTATAGATCGACGGTCGGATAGGTCGACAGATGGACAAGCTTAGCCATGTCCAACCAAGTAAGCCCTCTTCTTAACAGTGAGTAGTATAACGCACGCGCGTATTATTTATTGTATTCAACGACGTCACTCTGTCTTTATTTTGTTGAATTTTTCTCACTTGGAATAGCGTCGCGTCCCGTAAAAATTCTGCATTCACGTATTAAAAATATCTTTTTTCTATGAGAGTGAAAAAAATATCTCGGTGTATTATATTGATCCGTATTTTTGCAAGGATAAAATTGGTTTGCGCACGTTGCGTACATGAGGCCAATTTTACGACTTATCTGACCGGAATTTGTTCTGTTCCTCCGGAGCGTATCGTCGTTAGAATTTCAAAGGTATCGTCGATACCTGCGGATAAGTGAAAGAGGGGAAGGAGCGCGTGTAGAGTCGAAAACGGGGCGGCAAGTCCAGCGAGCGCGACGAAAGACGAAGCCGCGCGGCGAACGTGCCTTTATTTAGACAGCCAGCCGTCGATCGAACAGTAGTTTTCGATGTTCCTCGAGCGAGGAGAATTAACAACTCGACATTCAAGCGTCCGTGAAGAACGAGCGATGAGATCGAAGAGGTGAACGCACTGGCGCGAAATTTACGTCAGGCTCTCGTGCGCGCTTACGCACGCGTGAGCGAGCGAATGAGCACGCGCGTGGGATCGTTTGATCTTGGCGAGTAAATCCGCGCATTATTAAATAGATAACGGTCATAAATTCGGCCGGGTTACATAAAGGCGCGCAAAAGTGCGCGTTAAGGTCCGACCGTTCTATTTCTGTGTCGGAGCGTTCTAGGACAGCGGCTCTCAACCGCATTCCCCGCTGATAGCGGAAGTCCGGTGTTGCTGCGGCGATCCGTGCATAGAATATCGCCGGGGATAATTTCGTGAACGCGCGAGAGAATGTTCGCCGAGTGTGTTTTCGACTTTTCGATCTTGGAGAGAAATTGCTCGGAATAGCCTTCTTATCGTCTCGAATTATCGCCGAGTGACTGTGCCGCGTTTACCGTGTTACAAAGTTCATCGCATCGTTACATAAAATTGCAACATTACACACATAGCCAGTGAACGACTTTTTCACTTCCCTCGGTGGCTTTTCGTGAATTATCATCGCGTAACGATAACGTCACTCTCATAAAGCGCGTGACAATTCATGCGTACGTAAAAGTCACAGGTCGTTTCCGTGGCTCGATAAGAGAGCCGCTGAATGAGAAGGAATAATACGCGCCGTTATCGTCTGTTTGCTTTTTATCAACGTTGGGCGCGATAATTTCTTCTCCAAATTGCGCGAGTGCCGCTCGAGTGACTACACACGATTCCTCTCTTGCTTCTGACGTGACGCAGCAGATTGAATGTCGATTTAATATCTCGCGGAAACGAATTGTTATTAGTACGCGAACGGATGATTATTAGACGCAAAATTGCAGAATAAGTCATTTATTGGAATTTTTATCGAGGGAAAAGCTAGCTCCCCTCAGAAGATATCCGCCAATTGAATCGACAGATTCTCTTACTGCACGCGATCGATTCGTGCGAAACGCACGCTGACGACGTAAAAATTTTTCCGCGGCGCCACGTTATTGGCGGCCGTCCAAGCGAGGCGGTGGCCCCGTGCCTCGTCTATTTTCGTTGATCCCGACTCGTCCTCCGATGCTACTTTGCTAATGGCATTAACGTCGCGACGTGACTGATATCGCGGTTAAATGACGACGGTGAATAATCGCGAATAAAGAGATACTTTGTAAAAATAGAACGCTTCAAGTACCGTATTCTATCGAGCAGAACCGATCGTTCGGAATCTTGCGTGAAGGAGCGTGTTTTTTCTTCTCAGTGCCGAAAACTACTAATATTAAAGCGCGGCTTCACATTGTTTCAACAATTCGTTCTCGGCGCATCTTCGACCCGCGCGTTTTCGCAAACAGGCCCGACTTTGATTTACGCACGGCGGTGACTCAAGGATGAGAGAGAGAGAGAAGGGGAAGTACAAAAAAGATTAAAGGAAATATCTTCGTCGGGAGTCTACAGCCAGTCTGAGAACCGACGTCTTTAATTCGCACACGTGATTCTTTCTTTCTCTTTACGCTACTCTTAAACATTCCAATTATATGATAATTATTTTTTTTGTTTATTATATACTTGCTGTCTAAACATATAAATGATGCAAACGACTCTAGCAACCTCGAATAATTACCTTTGCCACTCGAATTCTTGCGCCATTCTTTGTGAATTACACGTCGTGTTTATTTCCACTTGATTTTCTGAAGACACTACGATAGATCTCTATTTCGTTTTAATACGGTAATTATCTCACGAAGTAATTTTAACTCGACTGTAATTGTAATTAATATACCTCCGAGGGGACTTGATCCCAAGGCAGAAGCAATCATTTCTACCTTGCTCTCTCCGTCGCATGCAACAGGTATCCGCACTGACGTCAGGACGAAACGAGAGGTACGCGACAGGACGGACGATCGGAGCGTAGGAAGCGTGTACGGTGGGGACGGAATCACGCACACGCGAGACTTGGCCTGCACATGACTTCTTTCCCCCTCGTCCCGTGCACGCCGCTTTGTTGCTCGCCGAGGAGCTCGAGCTTAACTCGAACCGAGTTGTGTCACCGCGCGACGTTCTGTTACGACGCTGTTATTCAACGCGCGCGCTCACGGAAATACGACGACATATGCGCGTCGTCGACACAGGTGATAAAAAACTTGGCAGTAATTATTCCGAGTTGATATCAATCAATCGGTCATTTTCGCTCATATTCACAGCAGGTGCACATTTTGTGCAATCTCTCTCCGAGGTGAAAAATTATCTCGCTTGGAATTACCGTGGGAGTTCTCGGATTTTTTCTCGCCGTGTATTCTTCGTTTACAAATTCCTCCGGCGTCCGTTACTGGTAATCCCGCGAACTGCTTTAACAACGTCATGAATCACGGAATGACTCCGTAATGTATGCGCGCAGAAATAACGCGCTGCCATTATTTTCGTGCGCGATTACTATTCCGGATATAACGTTCGCGAGAAACGAATATCGGAGGATACGTCTAGTTTCAAGCGAATTTGAATGAAAAAATTGTCTCTCCCTTTGACCTGTCTAATGGCGAGAAGGTCGTTCTCTCTCGAGCGTAGTTTAACAGCGCGCGAACAAAGCTCGTTTCGGCCGTGTGCGGAATAGGGTACAGTAAGCGCAGTAGACCGTCTCGTCGCGGCTCAGACTTTAATGACGTCATTATCTCTAATTAGAATTCCCAATCGCCGGGACGCCCCGTTATACCGAAGGATTCTTCCGATGGTATCGACGTTTGTCCGCGATACGCTCGTCGATCAAGGCTGGTGTTTCGTCGTCGGCAACGTCGCGCGCACGTCGATCGTCGCAAATTCTCATTATGAGTATCGATGCTTTTCGGAAGAAGACGTCATCTTCTATTTTCGACGAGCCATTCGAGGAGATGAGAGACAGAATAACGTTGGTTTAATATTTATTGTCGCGGGAGCAAGTCTTGAAATACATCGTACCCCCTCCCGCAGATTATAGATCGTGCAAAACGAGACGTCGAGCATAGTCCGCGCGATAGCGCACGCCGGTAACGAGAACCGTGTATAGGATAAACTGCGGATGAGCAATCTGGCTGTGACCAATCGTCGACGTGCTCGCAGTTACGTCATCGAAAACCAGCCATTTTCTCTCTCTCAATCTTTCTGCCGGACGTATAGGGATAGAAGTGGATCATCGCGGAAAATATTCCTCTCTTCTATTTCATCGCGACGCTGATGCACGCAGAATTCCGTCATGAAGGTCGCGCGGAAATTAATTTCGGTCTCGCTCTCTCTTTCCGTCCGATAACAGCTGTCGCGAGAGAGAAGAAACGAGTATCTTTGATTGTTACACGGATCAAAAAGGGGCGGACTATAAATGGCAGGTGAAATTCAATGGTAAAATTGAAAGAAGAAGGAAAAACGTAAGATTAAAGCGGTGAGAATTTCATCGACGTTACTACATTGTTGTCTTATCGTTCAAAGACACGCATCGAGTATAATTGATCACGCGGCAATATTTGTCCGTCCGGGTTTTTCGCGGATGACCAACGCGATAAGTGCGTTGGTTTCTCTCTCTCTTTTTATTATTCTCCGTATCGCCGGGGTCGCTCGTCGTTGGCGTCGTTTCACCGCCAACGTCACGCGACAACTATGTGCGACGCACCATTCTCGGAGACGGTCGGGATTGCAAAATGTCTTACGTTCGTAGTTTGCCGTCGCACACTCCGTGTGATAGATAAAACGCGCATGGTTACGCCATTAGTCTTCTTTTTCATCTCCCCCCTCTTTCTATGT